TAAACACTTTGCTATGAACTGTAAAACCTATAATTCTAAGGTGGTGAATTGCTTTGCTGATTATTCAAATCAGCAAGCTTAAAATGATTTAAAAACTCATTTAAAAATGTAACAGGATCATAACACTTAAATTAAAGCACCAATTCATATGGCACTTGGCTTGCAATAAACTGTGAGCGTATATTAGTTTACAAGGAAGCATCCATGTGAATCAATTTAAATTGTAAGCACTTACGAGTTATTTGTCTTTATAAGGAGAAGCTATAATAGAGTAACTTAATGATGCTTACACTACTGTTGCAACTGATTCTATATTACACAACTCAAAAACCCTTAATTTACACATAGGATTATACAGTAACAAACAGCCATGAGATATATTCAGCTCCTTCACAAGCCCTGTGAGGCTTTATTTCCCAGTTTAATATACAGTCACATTTTTCTCCCTCCAAAGATTTTCTTGTGTCTAGTTCTCAGTCAGACTCTTAGCTCCTTGGGACAGGGGCTTTATCTTCCTTTTTGACTGAAAGTACCTTGCATGGCTTTTAGTGTCATCAGTTTGCAGATGACACTGAGCTGTATCTTTTCTCATTCAAGTGATGCAGATTGCTTTCCTCAGCATCTGGTTGAGACTGGGGCACGGATGACAAACAACTGGATGGATGAAGCTCAATCCAGATAAAACAGAAGTGACGGAGGGCTAGTAGAAGGAAGTGGAAGATATAGTAAAGGTTTCAGAGGAACAGCCGTGTTAGTCTGTATTCGCAAAAAGAAAAGGAGTACTTGTGGCACCTTAGAGACTAACCAATTTATTTGAGCATGAGCTTTCGTTAGTCTCTAAGGTGCCACAAGTACTCCTTTTCTTTTTATAGTAAAGGTTGTACCTTCCCCTTTTATTGAGTGTGGTTGTACACCATTTATCGCTTGTCTTCACAACTTGGGAGTCTGATTAAATTTCCAATTATGGTTGGATGATCAGCAACCAAGACAGCCTTTCATCATTTGCATCTGACCAGGAAGTTACAAGTTACGATATTTCAAACATACCTTGCTACTGTGTCACCTGAAGGCTAGATTTCTGCAATGTGCTCAGCTAGGGGCTTTTTCTGAAACCCGTTCAGAAGCTGAAGTTGGAGTAGGATGAGACAGCCTGGTTGTTAAGCAGAATATCTGGCTGCAGGCATATCACACTGGTGCTTCATGATCTGGACTAGCTTTTTGTGAATTTCTAGATGAAGTTTAAGTGTTGGTTTTGCCTTACAGGAACGAAGCCCTACATGTCCTAGAACCTGTCTGAGAGACTGCTTCACCCTCTATGCCATACCACTGCAGTTAGTGGTGACTCTAAAGCAGAAGGCTCCTCTAGTAAAAACAGAGGGAGCTAGTGGCAGATCATTCTCTATGTAACTGTGTTCTGAATTTGCAATTCACTCCTTAACTTGGTCTGATACAGCCAGAACATGTTGCCCTTCAGGGAAAAGCCCCTCATTTTTATGGAGGATTCTCAGGAGAAGTTGTTACAGGAGTAATTGTTAGGGAGGATGTGGCATTTTTCTTATAATTTCTTCTTTACTTATCATGGCAGATGCTGCTGGGTTTCATCTTTATTTATGTTGATAAACAACTGTTAATGGCAACTAGAGCCTCTTATTGGTTTTTGAAGAACAGGCAAAAATATTACTTCTCAGTTGGAAAAAATTATACAAAGAAAATTCAATACCTCCTTTGAAAAGATGTTTAAAATACTTAATTAAATGAGACAAGCTAACAGCATTGTGGTCTAATACAATGATATAGCCCTTTCCCTCCTCTTCGCTCTCCCCCATATCATTACTATACGGTCTCTCTTCACAGTTCCAAAATTGGCTCCTAATTGTAATCATTTAAAAATCACTTCTTTTTTAAACTACTAAATACACAGAATTCTTGCCTGAACCATCCATACCCTATTTTTTTTACTCTTTTACATTTATAATGGATTTATTGAAATAAAGTAATTTCTGGATGACATTTCCTTAACTCCAGACATAACCATTTTTCACTTTTGGTGGATTCTTCCTTCTCTGATATTTGCATCTCTTTCCTCCTTCAAGAAATTCCATGAAGAAAAACAGAATCCAAAACTTCCAATTCTTTATGGTAACTTTATGGCTTAAAGTCGGGTAGGACAAGAAGTAATGGGCTTAATCTGCAACAAGGGAGATGTAGGTTAGATATCTATGGTCTAACTATACTGGTACTTAAACACTGGAATAGGCTACCAAGGAAGGTTGTGGAATCCTCCACATGGAGGTTTTTAAGAATGGGTTGAAAAAACACCTGTCAGGGATGATCTAGGTTTACTTGGTCCTGCCTCAGTACAGGGAGCTCTCGAGGTCCCTAAACTTGTATTGTATGAAGATCTCAAGTCCTTGTGTCTTTTAAAAGTCAAGTATTTTAAGTTGACTATGAAACATGATGGGAAGTCAATGCAGAAAAAGAGGAGGGATGGGGGATGACATGCCATAATAATTTGAAGCTAGAAAGTAGCCATTCAGCCATAATTGCATCCTGTGGATTTATCAAATACTGCACTCCAGCTAGGAAAAAAAATCATGACAGTCTTGCCTTGAGATGATTACAGCATGAACAAATAACTTAGCATGACACTGGAAAAGAGTTTCACTCTGGCAATATTCTTCAAATAGTGATAAAATCATAATCTATAGCTACATGCAACAGGATCAACTATTGAATGTAAGCTTTAAAATTGTATTTTAACATGTTACAAAAGTCTAGGAGGAGGATCTAAAGGATCTAAAGGATCTGCAGACTGTGCACTGATTCACAACTGCATGACATTCCTGTAGCAACTACAGCAATTGCTATCACGGAAAAATAATATTAAGGATATATTTAATGTATTTTGTCATATTTTAATGACTGGAAACAAGAAAACCCAACACTGTAGACCTAATCCCATTACCTACTGGCGTCAATGATAAGACTCCCACTGAAGGCCAGGCCCTAAGTGACCAGCCAGTTCTCTGCAGACCACCAGATGTTGCTCCACAGATCACTAGTAGTCCACTGACCAGTTTGGGAGCCTCTGCCCTAATCTTTACAAATATTGGAGTGACCTGTAGAAATTGAAGAAATGAGTTTCTGAGTGTTCCAAGGAAACAATGTAGGTTGGATCCCTGTTCAATCAGTGGTAAGAGAATAGCTTTGATACTCAAAACTGAAAGAAGAGATTTCAAAAATCGTATGTCTGATGTCTATTTCCTGAATGAATTAGGGTGACCAGTTTTTGACCAAAAAATCTGGTCGAAAAGGGGACCTGCTGGTGTCTGGTCAGATCTACTGACTGGACACCCAAAGTCCGGTTACTGCAGGTGGGAGAAGCAGGGAGGACTGAGTCATCACCCTCGCCAGCCCCTACTCAGCCAAGGTTGCTTCCTACCTGCACTAGGCAGCTCCAGCCCTGGCTCTGCAGGCAAGTCCATCCCGACCCACACAGGGAGTGGGGTGAGGATAAAAGCAGTAAGCAATGGAAGGAGGGGGAAAGAGGAGTAAACGGGGGACAAGGCTTTGGGGGGAAGGTGTGGGACAGGAGTGGGGCCTTGTCCTCAGGGGGAAGGTGTGGGGCAGGGGAGGTTCTGGCACTCCTGCTGGAGTGTCTGGTTTTTAAATATTGCAAAGTTGGCAATCCTAGAATGATTCTTTGTCTAATATGAACTATTATAGGAGATTTCTCAAATATTTATATTCCTAACACTTTCCAAAATTAGGACATTATCCTGGAGAGGCCAAAAGCATTCCTACACCAATAGAAGTTTTACCACTCAGGAGTACATGCAAATTTGAGAAGGGTGAAGAGTGGGGGAGGGTGTCATTTGTGACCATTTTAGTGAATATAAAATCAACTATTCAATTTGGCCGAGCGGCACTCCTTTTTGTTTGCTTTTCATTCACAGCCAGGTTGGGAGGTGGCTTGCAAAGGCCTATGTTACCAACATGAACAAGGGTTCTGAGATGTATACATGGCTGTAGTATTTGTTATTTGTTCCAGAAGTGCTAACTTCATTTGTAAATTTTGCGTCACCTAATCAGGGGCAGCAACAATGCTATGTACTGTAGGTGACCAATCATAACAGCATAAATAATGTATATCAAATAAGTGAAAATATAGTTGAAACAACTAATTTAGGAACAGGTTGAAATGCATCCACATTAAGCATCCATTGAACATTTTAGTACATTTGTAAAACAAAACTGAAGTTTGTTCACACTAATTCACACATAGAATAAACTCTTTGCTAAAAAACAGCTCACCTGCCTCTTCTACCCGTACATTGGCAGCCTATGTATTTTTAATACCCAGACTTTAAATCTATGCAGGACAATATACATTTATACTTATTTCTATCACTACAAAAGATGGCTAATACGCATTCTGCTGGAGCTGGTTGATAAGACACATCCATAGCCTGGGACATTTTTCTTGGGAAGGAAGCCCACTGTCATGAACCATAGCAACAATAAGTTTTAGAAATGAGTACACAGCCCTGAAACTGTAAAACAAACAAAAAACAGAAAAATTGTATGTTCAGCATAAGTACATGACAATGTCAGCATGACCTGACACGCTTTGTTAAGTGGATGTCACATTTTTATAACAAAGATTGAGCCTTAAAGGTAAAATTAGGAGAATTTTAGAAAGGGGTGCAACTGTGCCCTCTAATTGAATGAAGCAATCCCCAAACCAAGATACCGTCTCATGATAAAATATATTTAACCACTAAACAATTAATTTCATCTTTAGCATCAGGCAGATGGGGAACAGTAGCAATATCTTCAGGTAATACTTATTATCTTTAATCGTACTGATGTTCTACCCTTCCTGAAGCAGCTTCCTCATTTGTAAAATCAAGTGAGATTTGCAAGAGGAAAAAAAATATGCTGATGCAATGATAACTAACTAGATAAATTATCTAAACTACATTCCTTTCTTGCCACAGGTTGATACCCGTGGAAACATTCTTCTTACAACTCTGGAATTAAGAAATGAGATCAGCAGCTCAGAAGTGTTCACAGGTATCAGTGACCCAAAAGCCACCATGTATTCATATGACAGTGCCAGCATCCAGTACAGAAGACCCATATCAAGCAGAGAACTCTACAGCAGAAGCACATTGGACAGGCAGATGGTTCATAAAAAGGGGCGCTTACGGAGAAGAGCATCACAGCTCAGAGTCAAAATTCCAGATCTGACAGATGTTAATTCTATAGACAAATGGTCAAGGATGGTCTTTCCTATCACATTTATTATTTTCAATGTAGTTTACTGGCTTTACTATGTCCACTAATGTATGCACCTATCATCTCATCGCTAGATTTATTTTCTTCCCTTCATTTTGTTAACTCTCAAGGACTGCAGTAGCCATAATGCTACATTTCCAAGGTAAGATACGCAGCCATTGAACAGTTCTTGTTTAAAAAAAACAAAAACATTTAGCCAGGTTCACTTCAGAAGAGTACAGTGTCTACTCCAGCATACTGTTATTTGAGATCTGTTCTTAAAGAGCATCTTCAACAAGGAAATAAGCGCTATTTCTTTACTTATCCAAAAAAATTGTGTATCTTCCATGATATTTTCCTACTTTTTTTAATCTGGATTTTTTTAAGTTAAATAAAAGACTGTCTTTTTTCCACCACATTCTGGTAGAATAACACTTGTCAAACAAGGCTGTATATTGTCTCAAATCGGGCACTTGACAAGCTACAGCTTTCCAGCATAAACAGGACTCAAAGACACGTGGAAAAATACCTGTTATAAAGATTATGTCTATTTTACATAAAGTACTGTTCAAAAGTGAGTACTTATGCTAGCGCTGGCCTTTGACAATGTTTGCAGGAAGTACCAGTCAAGGGTACATAAGTCCCAACTATCAATTTTCCATAAGGCTAGAATTTTCAAAGGAGCAGAAGGGAGCTAGGTGCCCAAATCAGGGTCACTGGAACCGGGGGCCAGAGGCCCCTAGCTCCATCATTTTAAAAGTGGGAGGGCTATGCCCTCCCACTTTTTTACGGGCTGAAAGGGCAAGTGATGGGGGGAGGGGTTTCAGGGGGAAGAGGCGGAGTTGGGGCGGGGCCTTGGGGGTGGGGGGAAGAGGCAGCGCGGGGGTGGGGCCATGGTTCAGGCACCAGTGGCTCTTCACTTATAGGGAGCTTCCACCACTCCTGGCTCAAATCCCATTGAAATTCTATCAGACAAATGGCTGATCTGATCTTACCTGGAATTCTGTTATTTCCATGAAGGAGTGAAGTAGAGAATTGAAAACAACATTTTGTAATTTGGAAGTTTGTATTAAAAAATATTAAATGGATTAATTCTAGGTAGTTACTAACCATTTTACTAAGGAATAGTCTGAACTGAGGGGGATTTTGCCTTCTCTCTCATCTCTCCCTTTATTTAGGGATTGCTTCATATTTTTCCACTTGTTTTACTTGGCTGCTTAGTACAACAGCTCTACTTCAGGAGGACAATGTAGGTTAATCTTCTTTTTGTGATGGAAAAATTTCATCAAGTTTTTAGGAAAGCAAGATGCACAGGCTGAACAATGCTGCATAACTATGAAGAATATGTCAACTGCCGTTCATACTAATAAAAACAAATATTGAGATAAATACCACGGGTAGTTAAAAAGCAGGTGGCTAACAAAGATGACCCTTAACAGGAGCCAGCTAAAAGCTTTCATAACTGATCTCCATTGAACTGGAATGGATTCGTATTCTCAATTTGGTGGCCTTCCCGCCAGTTGACATTATGTCATTTAGTATGGTTTTGTTGTTAATGACAAGGCAATCTAAAAGTTATTTTTTGACATTCATCCTAAGGATTGACCCTTCTTCCAACTCAGAGAACAGGCTCCTGTGGCCCTTTCCTCCACTCTAGCAGCATAAAGGAGTCATAAAGGGCTCCTTGAGGAATTCCCCAGCTGCAGGACAGATATGGGGTTAAACACAGCCATAGACTACGGGACAGAAAAGGGCCACATCAGAGGCAGAAGTGTCCATAGCCTGCTATGCTAGAGTAATTCTGGGCTGTGGAGCAGCCCACAGACAGCCACTTAAGGTGGCACTAAGTTAGAGAAGCCCTTGAGGCTACTCCAACCCCAGAGCACCCCAAATTCCAAGCACAGAGGTGGCCTAAAGTCACCTTTGCAATCAGTCCTCCTGGACTGCGTCGTCTTTGTTGTGACTTCTGAGAGGTGCAGCACAATATCACACCCCAAACCTAGATCTTACCCATCAACCACAAAAAAGCAGAACATGTCATTAGGGTTGCTAGGCGTCCAGTTTTCAAACAGAACGCCTTGTCAAAAAGGGACCCTGGCGGCTCCGGTCAGCACCACCAACTGGGCTGTTAAAAGTCCGGTTGGCGGTGCTGCGGGTGTAAAGCAGGCTAGTCTCTATCGGTCCAGCGCGGTGCCAGAATAGGTAGGGAGCCTGACTTAGCCTCACTGCGCTGCAGACCAGGAGCCACCCAAGGTAAGCCCGCACCCCAACCCCCTGCCCCAGCCCTGAGCCCCCCAAACCTGGAGCCCCCTCCCATACCCTAAACCCCTCAGCCCTGGGCCCACCCCAGAGCTGCACCCCCTGCAACACCCCAACCCCGTCTCAACCCGCAGCCCCCTCCTGCACTCTGAATCCCTTGGCCCCACCCCCCAGCCTGGATCTTCCCCTGCACCCCAAAGCTCTGCCACAGCCCAGTGAAAGTGAGTGAAGGTGAGGGAGAGTGAGCCACCGAGGGAAGGTGAATGTACTGAACGGGGGACAGGGCCTTGGAGAAGGGGCAGGGCTAGGGTGTTTGGTTTGTGCAAATAGAAAATTGGCAACCCTACATGTAATGGAATCTCTGAAAGTAAAAGTCCTAACTGTGGAGGGCCCGGACTAGTTACTACTGGTGTGGAAATTGCAACAGAAGAGCTTTGCTGAGTTTATTGCAGTTTTTACAGCAAAACACTCACAAGACTAAAAAAAAGGATGCAATCCAGTAAAACCTGACATTTTGTGCAAATTGATATTGTTCAAGATAAATGCAGCCCAAATCAAAATGTCACTTCTGATCATAAATATGAACTCTGTAGTCAGCCCCCCAGCCTAAAATGACTCCAGATTTTTTTTTAAACAGTGAAAGCTTGCACTGTGCTAGCAATCTGAAATGAAAATCCACATATAGTGCTTCCTTTCACACAAAATTACAGACTTTAGCCAATACCAGGTTTGCAGGCTGTTTTGCTAAAGACAATTTTCATAGTAAGTAACAAGAATTCTTTGGGATGTGATAACATTCCATCAACAAGGCATACAAAACACAGAAAAATTATGTGTTATAAACGACATTGGATTTTTCTGTCTCAAAAATGTTTGAGTTAAGCTGAGGTATAGAGTGATAAAACACAGCTTTTCCTGTAAATTCAAAATGCACAGAACAATGCACCACTGAATAGTGCGTGGTGTTCGAATCAGACAAACATAGAATCATAGAATATCAGGGCTGGAAGGGACCTCAGGAGGTCAACTAGTCCAACCCCCTACTCAAAGCAGGGCCAATCTCCAATTTTTGGCCCAGATCCCTAAATGGCCCCCCTCAAGGATTGAACTCACAATCCTGGGTTTAGCAGGCCAATGCTCAAACCACTGAGCTATCCCTCCCTCATGTACTGAACCTAGTACAAGTAGAAAAGGAGTACTTGTGGCACCTTAGAGACTAACCAATTTATTTGAGCATGAGCTTTCGTGAGCTACAGCTCACTTCATCGGATGCATACCGTGGAAACTGCAGAAGACATTATATACACTCTCCCTACAATGTGCATGATAATCAAGGTGAGTGGTCACTTTGGATAAGCTATTACCAGCAGGAGAGTGAGTTTGTGTGTGTGGTTTTTGGAGGGGGGTGAGGGGGTGAGAGAACCTGGATTTGTGCAGGAAATGGCCCACCTTCAGTATCATACACATTGTGAAGAGAGTGGTCACTTTGAAATGGCTATTACCAGCAGGAGAGTGAGTTTGTGTGTGGGGGGACGGAGGGTGAGAAAACCTGGATTTGTGCTGGAAATGGCCCAACTTGATGATCACTTTAGATAAGCTATTACCAGCAGGACAGTGGGGTGGGAGGAGGTATTGTTTCATGGTCTCTGTGTGTATATAATGTCTTCTGCAGTTTCCACAGTATGCATCCGATGAAGTGAGCTGTAGCTCACGAAAGCTCATGCTCAAATAAATTGGTTAGTCTCTAAGGTGCCACAAGTACTCCTTTTCTTTTTGTGAATACAGACTAACACAGCTGTTACTCTGAAACTAGTACAAGTAGGAGTTATCAGCAACTGCTACTTGCCATTTCCAAACACCTCAGATTTCATTCTCTACTTTCTATAGGCTGCATTTCTTTTGAATACAACACACTATGTTTTGTAACATCCTGGCACACAGAATATTAGAAATGTAGGGCTGGAAGGGACCTTGATTGCTCATCATGTCCAGCACCCTGCATGGAGGCAGAACCAAGTAAACCTAGACGATCCCAGTCAAACCTCTTTCTAAAAACCTCCAGTGATGGGGATTCCACAACCTCCCTTGGAAACCTATTCTGGTGCTTAATAACCCTTATAGTTAGCAAGTTTTTCCTAATATCTAACCTGAAAGCTCCCTTGCCACAGATTAAGCCCATTATTTCTTATCCTACCTTCTGTGGACCTGGAGAACAATTAATCATCATCCTTCTTTATAACTGCCTTTAACGTATTTGAAGATTTATCAGGTCCCCTCTAAATCGTCTTTCCTCAAGATTAAACATGCTGGGTTTTTTAACCTTTCCTCATAAGTCAGGTTTTCCAAACATTTTATCATTTTTATTGCTCTCCTCTGGACTCTCTCTAATTTGTCCGCATCTGTTTTAGTGTGTGGCACCCAGAACTACAAGATAATATTCCAGCTGAGGCTTCACCACTGCTGAGTAGAGTGGTACAATTACGTCCCATGTTTTACATGCAACACTGCTGTTAATACACCCCAAAGTGATATTTGCATTTTTCACAACTACATCACACCGTTGGCTCATATTCAATTTGCGATCCACTATACTCCCCAGATCCTTTTCAGTAGCACTACCTCCAATTATTCCCCATTTTGTAGTTGTGCATTTGATTTTTCCTTCCTAAATGTAGTACTTTGCCCTTCTCTTTAATGAATTTCATCTCGATTTCAGACCAATCCTCCCATTTCTAAAGGTCAATGTGAATTCTAATCCTGTCCTCCAAAGGGCTAGCAACCCCTCCCAGCCTGGTGTCATCTGCAAATTTTATAAGCGTACTCTCCACTCCATTATACAAGTCATTAATGAAGATATTAATTACTACGAGACCCAGGACAGACCTCTGTGGGACTCTGATAAATACAGGCCCCAGTCTGACAGTGAACCACTGAACACTATTCTTTGAGTATGATCTTTCAGCCAGTTATGCACTCACCTAATAGTAATCTCATCCGGACCACATTTCCCTATTTTATAAGAACGTCATGAGGGTCTAACATATACAAGCTCCTCTCCTATCCACTCGGCCAGTAACCCTGTCAAAGGACCTAAGAAGGCAAACTCTATCCCAAGATGATTTGGGGAACTCTCTCTGAGAGTAACCTCAGAGTCCTCCTCCCCACCAGCACCCCCTAAGGCAGGGAAGCATTCACGCTTTTTGTTGTTAATACAAATATTTAATCAGAAATTATTCAGGTTTTTGCTCCCATGAACCAGACCAGGGTTGCAGCCTCTGACATGCGGAAAAAACAGCAACTACCTGCCACAACCAACAGAAACTGGCCACTGGTCACCAACTCCCCTTCCCCTCAACAAAAAGAGTGCTAAGGCCGACTATAGCTAATTATTGCTAAAATGTTTTAGAGAACCATTTTACACCAAAAAATAACACAAATGTGTATTTTTATGATATTTTCTTACCTTATCCTAACACAGCTCTGCAGTGCAGGCCACAAGGCTGTGAATTGAAGAGCAAACTGATGTATCCCAAGTGAAAAAAAGGGCACATCAAATTTTTTCACCATGAAGTCAGCACAAAAAGCAGCCAGGAGGCTACCCTAACGAGATGACCAAGATTAAGCTCCAGCTTCAGTGAATTAAGTTTTGTGGTATTAATGGATTTACAAAACCACCTGAACTTTGTAAAAATTTAAAGCTCATAGAACTTGTGAATGGTTAAATGAGCCGCATGATAGCAAACATTCAAAT